ACCGTGTGAACTGAATGTATCCCAGCTCCCAAGATTCACGTGTATCTTCTTCAAATTTCAGTCAAAGTAACAGATAACAACTCACTTGAAAGGTTAGTTCTTGAACGTGTGATGAAGAAACAAAATGAGGTTGAAATACTTATATTGCACACGATCAGAAACAGGAGGGGAAGTGTTCTTATACTGGCAAATCCGCTATTGGCACTATGTGTCGAAACACGCAATGCATATTCGCCCCAGAAATTATTCTCAATACAGATACCGTTTGCAGAAATATGTTATTATCCATAATCCGAGTCCCATGTATAACCCAAGATACAATGACTTTGATAATGAAAAGCACAGCGGTGCATAAAGCTACTTAGTAGTAGTACAGAAATGTACGTGGTGTAGTGAATGTGCGTGCGTGTGTGTGTGTGTGTATTTCCTCTTGGCGCACCCAAAAACGAAACTTTTCGATGAAATGCTTTGCAAAGTCATCGTCATAGCCATGCAGCATATATTTCAATACATATTTATTGCTTAATCAGTTGGAAAAAATTATTGTGATGCAAATCATATATTTGGCCCGATCTAGCTATCTGGGAGAGTACTGTAGATTGGGGAGTTTAACAGCGACAGAGAAAGAGAGCAATATAGACAGAGAGAGAGAGAGGGAGAGGGGGAGTGAGAAAAAGCACCCCCCCCCCAAAAAAAAAGGGGGGGGCAACGCAGGGATTTGGGAATCTGATCCCAGCTATTGGTAATTTGCCGTTCCAATTATTATGAATGAAGAATAAATACAAGTAAATACCAATGTTCTTTGGTCCTATCATCGATTTCGACTGTCAACTTCAACTGTGTTGAGGTCTGTACCATAATGTATAGTCTGCTAGCACAGACTCTCATCCGCAATCCTAAAGCCTTAAGTAGAGCCTAGATGTGTCGGTCTCTGGCTGTATAACACAGCAGCTTAAATACAGTACATATTGTAGTCTCATTTTACAGTCACTGTACGTAGAACAACAAGGGTTTGTGCCTGTGAACTGGGAAACTTACGGAATAATATTATTAAGACTTTCCCAGAATCATACAGCTTTACAGGCACATGTTTTGCAAGGGGGCTTACACCCTTTGCCTGAATATCAAATGTTCCAGGTTATGAAATATTGCGGTCGAGCCGAAAAAACATCTTAATGTGATAAGACTTTTATTTAATCATTTGTGATAGGATACAGAATTGCAAACTCGCGCATCGATCTCGCTGCCTGAATATAAGCTGATATACTATTGATAGGAATATTTCAAATTGTAGGGTGGGGAGGGGAGAGCTGCAACCACCACACCCTGCCCCCGACCCATCGTAAAGCTTTTAGTATAAGCTTTTCACGTTATGGTTTTCTCATATGGTTCTCTTTGATTTGCTGATGGATAAAGATCTATACTGACTAGCAGATTAAAAGTACATTATTGTTTAATGGAGATGTGAATTCGGTGTAAACAGCTACCAAATCTTACTTACTCCAACCGATTTAGACGTACTGTTAAATAATAAGTGCAACCTAATCATTGCTGCCGAACAACCTTTGCCAATATTTGCATTAATTAAAATAGCGAAACTTTGTTGACCGTACCTTTTGCAGCTCATCAACAATCAAGTTAATCACCTATTAACTTATATCATGCGTGCATATATTAAAACATGATTTAAAGACTTGTCCAAGGTTTACAAGGCATAACAACATATATATCACATGGAAGATTTCGTCCATATGTAGATGGCAATGAACTTTAAAGTGAAATAATTGATAGGGGTTCTGCTGTTCATTTCCCATGCACTGAAATACATTAGATGGCCTAAATTGGTTTATTGTTGAAGTATTCATCTCTCTCTCTCTCTCTCTCTCTCTCTCTATTCCCCTCTCTTTTTAGCTCTCTATTACGCTTCCCCCCCCCCCCCCTCTCTCTCTCTCTCTCCCTCTCTCTCTCTATTCCTCATTCTCTTCCCCTCATTCTCTTCCCCTCATTCTCTTCCCCTCTCTTTTTAGCTCTTTATTACGCCCCCCCCCCCTCTCTCTCTCTCTCTCTCTCTCTCCCTCTCTCTTTCTCTCTCTCTCATTCTCTTCCCCTCTCTTTTTAGCTCTTTATTACGCCCCCCCTCTCTCTCTCTCTCTCTCTCCCTCTCTCTTTCTCTCTCTCTCTCATTCTCTTCCCCTCTCTTTTTAGCTCTTTATTACGCCCCCCCTCTCTCTCTCTCTCTCTCTTTCTTTCTCTCTCTCTCTTCCCCTCTCTTTTTAGCTCTCTATTACGCTTTCTCTCTCTCTCTCTCTCTCTCTCTGTATGGGATAATGCGTATACATTATGACGGGAAATAGGCCTCAAGTGAGCTGGGGAACACAAAAAGAAAGAGAAAACGGGGAACTCGGGGGAAAACCGAGAAAATGCGGACAAAGAATATCAAAGTTAGGAATCCATAAACATATCTATTGATATGGAGCTACTCCTATTGAAGAGTCAGTCACGGTGGGTGATGTTATTTGGCACAACTTCTCGATTCTTTTGAAAAAAATTGAACTCCTCCTTTTTCCCTTCTTTTATTGGAAAGGGGGCGTATTCGTTTTAAATTCTAATACGCAGTAGATGTATAGATGAATATGAAGAATGTATATATATATATTATGACATTCGATCAGATCGTATAGAGTAGGAATATCGCTATATCATAACTGATTTCAACTGTTTTCTTGCTATCAAATTTCCTTTTCTGTGTATTCTTCTTCCACAACTTAAAATGAGGAATATTATGTACGCCTCCCAAACTTAAACTGGTACACTTTATTTCTTCTAGGCGACAATATTCTTATCATTAGTTTTGTTCTAGTCTTGAACGCCTCATGAATTGCGAAGCATCTCGGTCTGCAATGATATTCTGACGCGGTTTAATTCAAATATCTATATGTAAAATCTCGCACCCAAAGGCTCCAGAGCTCTGCCATCCACACATCTTTCCGTTGTTGTGATACTCTCCCATTGATCTGAAGACTGGTGTTGTGTCTTCATCTCTTAAGACATAGATCTCAAAACTTTAAGTCCAATGCAATAATGTGAGTTTAATTAAATCCAAAGACCCGATACTAATTGTCAATTTAGGAGAATGACATGTATTTATGTTTTTCATATTTTGTAATTCATGATTCTTACGGTATATTATTTGGATACTTGCGAATGAATTTCCCTTGATGTTATTCTTAGTTGTTACTAAATAAAACAAACCCATTATTAGATTGATATGTTTGTTTTCTCCAAGTCAGCTCCATATTATCAGCCACTCCCAAATGTTGAAAATTCGAACGCATTAATGACCTTATATATTACAATGGGATTTCCTTTTTTATCCAAGTCAGTCCCATAAAATGTGGCCATTCTTCTCAATATTGTGGCGGCCGCCCCCGCCTCCGTCTTCAACCTCGACCTCTACGTCGGGATGATTCTCATTCCCAGCTGGGGAAACTGATTCTTTATATCTGTCAGGATATTCGTCAGCCGACATCTTATTTATAATGTCCGAGCGGTTTAAGTAATTAGGTCTTATCTTGTATTTGAGAAAAGACGGGGGAAGCTACAATACTTATTTACGTTCGTTTCGTCGAAATATACGACTATGACGGAGTACCAGTTAAGAAGAAAGACAAAGTGTTTAAAGACTCATAATTTCAGTTTCGAGACAAAATAAAATGGTCAACTTTTATTAAGACATGTACTTCAAATATTTACAACATCTTTATATCACCACTGTCACAAATACCTTGTGCTCATAGTTATACTTAATGAATTTAGATGATTGTCGTTCTTATATTCTAATACATGTAATAAAGTGAAGGGCAATGATTCATTGGGATTTATGGGACTTGGGAGTTTTCCGTCTTAGTTTAATTCCATAGCATCATATGGGGAGAGGTGGACTTAGAATCTTCCTGCGTCTTAATAATGGTATATTAATTCCAGCATCTTAATAGTGGGATATTAATTCCAGCATCTTAATTCCAGCGTCGACTTCGTTCTGTACCTTCATATTTCAGTTGTAAACGTCTAGTTCCTTAGATGGCTATAGAGGGAGGGGAAATTTCCAAGGAGAGACCACTTAGCTGTTATCCCGACGAGCGCCCAATTCCAAGTCCTCGCGTTTCAGAAATGTTACGAGTTATAAAGACATAATGCGGACGTGGGGGAAAACGATGCGCTGAGCGATCTTGGAAAAAACACGCGCAGCGTAAAATGGACAAGCATTAAGACTGTGCTAGTCCGTATAATTTATTCGTTAATTCTTATTAATAAACTCTAAAACCTAAAGTGAACCATACACTTCCAAAAGAGTATGTCTTTTGCCACGGACAGAGCATAATCAGAAATCAACATAAGTATTTCTGAGTCATAAATTCTTCTAAATTGCATCAGAAACAGCTAGCGCTGGGTCCGTGTGCTTTCTGTACGCTCAGCCGCAGCTCACATAGTCCAGAGCAAAATATTTAAGTCAATCTCTCATTTTACCATTAATTATATACAACACTAGGAATGAACTATCAGTTCCAATGAATATTAACAAGACACATTGCTTAAACATCTTTCCATCCGAATTCATGTGATATACTTATAAACAATTAAAGCTTAACATCTTTAAGCATCTCAATAAAAGATTCAATGTCAAGCGCTCGTATGCAAATTAGTTATGTACGACACAATTACCGTGTTTACACAGTGATCCGCCTCGAGGATTGAAGCCGGGTTGAAGCCGCGAGGGGGTTGAAGCCTCTAAAGCGCGCAAATGTGATCGTGTTTACACAGCAGAAAAAAAAGGCGGCTTCACAACCCTCGAGACGGATCACAATGACGTCACAATGCGGGGAATTTGACCTACGTCAGCTTCAGCTGGGGGTCCAGTAACATAATTATACGCGCGGCCTATTTATACTTTTAAGGTTGCGCTTAAAGGAAAGCTATGCGCATATCAGTGCATCAGTTACCGTGTTTACACAGTGTTCCGCATCGAGGGTTGAAGCCGGCTTGAAGCCGCGAGGGGATTGAAGCCGGGTTGAAGCCTGCAGTTTTATGTGTGTAAACGGGATCCCAGTGAGGATTGAAGCCGGGTTGAAGCCGCCGCTTGAATCCACCAGAATTGCAGGTCTCAATCCACCTCTCGGCTTCAACCCTGCAACTTTATGCTGTGTAAACGGGATCTGATCCACCTCGAGGGTTGCAGTCAGACCGCAGCCGGTGCGAAAACCCTCTATTTTACTCAGCACGTATGCAAGAATTTACGTGTCTTGCATACGTAATGAGTAGTGCAGACGGTCTTCCCGATCGGCAGTTTTTGCCGTTATAATTGTTCATTTCTCATGAAATGGGTCTTATTTTAAAGATAAGAAGTTGCACTCTCTATATACTTATATGACAATCATGTTAGATATATTTTGGAAACAGATATTTCGCCTTGAAAATGGGGTTTTTCGACGATAAATCTATCTAAAGAGTAGGGCTGATTTTCACATAGAAATCATTCTTGCGTCAAGAAAATGTTATAATCAGCATAAAGCATAAATATTTTTCTTTACAATGATATCAAAATTATTATATTTTACGCTGTACCAAAGTCAGGAACCAAGAAAAATCACGCGAATGTTCATGAATAATTAAAAGAAGTAGTCAATTTTGCAGATGTGATAATAGAAAGTTCTGATTGGTCAACTACGTCAACTACGTCACATATGTTTCGCTTTGGTTTATTTACATTCTGAATACCACATTTTCGTAACCATGCGTTGTGGCGTGCGCCTGTAATGCGCCTGCGCGCAGGCCGTCTTGACAACAATCTAAGGTCCCGAGATCAAATACCTCACTTGTCATGATGATTCTTTTCTACTAAATTTCTTTTTTAATCATTTTTCTAATTTGTTTTCGGCTAGTCGATGGCGCGGCGGAGCTCCCTGGAGTTTAATAATCATTCTGGTCCGTCCCTTTGGAATAAGCTGCCAGTTAGTATTCGTAATTTAACTACCCTTCATGCCTTCAAAGTTGCTCTAAAAACCCATCTCTTTCTAAACAGTGCTATCTAATCATGTCAATGTAGCGTTATAATTTGTGTTTTAGTTTACTTTATTTTAGTTAAGAAGTTATATTTTTGTGATAGTAATACATGTATGTACAGCGCCATGAGCGTCAGAGCCTGGCGGATACCGGCGCTATATAAATATCCATATTATTATATATATATTATATTATCAGTTATGCATTGCCATTGCTTAGACGGCGAGCGTGCACGAGTATGAAATCACACAATTTCGCGCTATCATAGAAAGAACAAATTGGTAATTTCCGGGTTTTTAGGGTCTTAATTACTATGATTATAAAAAGAACATGATTTTGCGTCAATTAGGTTTTGACATATTTTTGATCAGTGACTTTTCATCTTTCGAACGAATCTCAAAGTGGACAAATTGATTTTGTACCAAAGTCAGGAACCAAAAGTGAAATTCTCGAGTCAAAACAGCAGTTGAAATGTTACAAAAATAACGTCAATAAAAGTTGTGAAAAATTATTGTTTAGAAATTGCGAAATATGGCAAATTACATATCAAACTGATGCTGAAAATCTCGAGAGTGACTTACCGTTGCATGCTGCCATGTTGAATGAAGTTAACGACCAAAAAAGCAGCTACATGTACACCCCTACAAATCTCACTGAAAATCGCATGGAAATTCAGCAGACGTAAATGTTATGTGATCGCCAGATATCGCTGAGTAAAAATCAGCTTTCAGCCCAGGCCCCCCAAGCTCCGCCATTTTGTCCGGATCCATTAGAAGCCAAAATAAGCCCCTTGCATAATTCATGAGCCTTATGAATTATGCATTCTGTAGGATGATCCCCGCGAAAAGTGTACTGGAATGATGTTTACTACATGGTAAAAGACAATACGCGTATCAGCGTAATTAGAGAGGTCAAATAATCTACTGTACGGAATTATGGGTAATTTATTCATAACGCTGCGCGCTAGCAACGCAAGTGATTCAGCGAATCAATGTGGACTATTCTGATGCGATCACCGTTAGGTGAAATACGCGCTCGAACTTGTATTATCGATCACCAGTATAACAGCTGGTGTACCCAGGATGCATCTGGAAGTGGATCTTAAAAGTTCCTCTCGTTGTTGTGTTTTTGTTGTTTTTTAATATGGGGGAGTGGCCTTAACTTCATTGAATAAGAAATACTGATATTTTTAATGTCCTATTCCCTTTTTAGTCTATCAATAACTGGGTCTGTTTTTGTTTTATTAACTCAAACATGCTATAAGCCACATAACAACAAATTCTCTGGCTATGATTATACATTTTAAATATGCTAATGTATAAAGTGTCCTTATTTTATACAAACAAATTATGTGGCAAAGAGGATGGTTTTTCTCCACCCACTCTCATCGTACCTTAATGATTCCCTTTCTCTCTCTTTCTCTGTCTTTCGTAAATAATCTTCTGCAACTAACGGTTTGTTGTCTTGACTGAACAACCTGTTGCAGTTCCTTTCTGTCTCACTTTCAATCATAATACCATTCATTTACATTGACTCGTTATCAACTACGATCAACCATTGATCCATATTCACTCCATTACTGTCCACATTTCACTTGGATTATCTTCACTTTTCCTTTTTGCAGCCTTTGCAGGAGCTTTGAACATTTTTAATATAGAGACCAGAGAGATCGGAAAATATGTTAATCATTTTATTCGAATTGAAAACGGAAAGTGAAACATTGTTTTTCAACATCTTGACATATTTTTTGTTTAAAGACAATGGAATTTAACACTGGAAATTTTAAATTGGGGCGCCCCCCCTCCAAAAAAAAACAAAAAAACAGAAGTGGTACCAGGGTTAGTTAGTTCGGAGGCTCATGTCCTTTATAATTTTATTTTTAGGAATAGTTTTCTCTTTGTTATCAATTTGACATTGGTATACCGTTAATTTCACTGGGAAAACCACCCCCTTCCCTTACACATCAATACTGCCATTACTTCTAGCAACAGTAATTCTATAATTCAAAACGTTTTCATTTTCTAAATCCTTCTAATATAAACATAACAAATATAATACTGTTTACACTTTTGCAACCTGTTACATGGTCCATTTAGAAACAGCACCAGGAAGAGGATAACAAGCCCCCCCCCCCCCCCTGTTTTCTTAGGCTAGGAAGTATCAAAACATGATTCTATTAAAATTAGCAGTTTGGATACAACAGGCAATGATGATTAGCAGTTTCCATATTTAGTGCATTTAGAGGGTTGTCTTTCAAACCTTCTTACATACAATACTTGAAGCAGCAATAATGTAATAATCTACAAAACTTCAAATACAGAAGTCCATAGACTGAGGTAAATGAATTTCAACATGTATAATTATAATTAAAATATCATTGATTGATTCAATCTTTGATATAGACTGATAAATCTTTATCATTCAAATTTCAAGGAAATTTCTTTCTGCCCAGCACTCAGTTTCATCCTATAAGATGGTAGTTGACATTGTTAAAATGTCATTAATGTTTATTCATTGATGATTAGTTTAATTATTTGAAAGTTGACAAGATGATAAATTCATTAGCTTTTTTTAAATGTGGTATTCTACAAACATATAATACAAATAATAAATAAATAGTATGTAAATATTTAAGTTTAAACCCATCTCTACTCAATGGCGGATCCAGGATTTCTTAGGGGAGGGGGCCCAACTTTTTTTTTTTTGCTCCCGAAAATTTGAAAATCGCGCCGGCCGAAGAGTCGCTCAGTGGGGGGGTGGGGGGGGGGGGGGGGGGGGGGGGGGGGGGGGGGGGGGGGGGGTACAGAGCACAATTTTTTTTTTTTGCTCCCGAAAATTTGAAAATCACGCTGACCGAAAATTCGCTCAGTGGGATGGGGGGGGGGGGGGGGGGGTAGTGAGCACATTTTTTTTTTTTTGATCCTCAAAAAAATTTCAATTTGCACCCCCCCCCCCTTGAGCGCCAGGGGGGGGGGGGGGCCCAACCCCCCAAAAAGGTAAAAATCACGTGATTTTACATGATTTTTTTCTCAAGGGGCCCGGGCCCCCCGGCCCCCCGGCCCCCCCTGGATCCGCCACTGTCTCTACTGTCCTCTTTCATTATATGAGGGGGCATCTTTAAGACGTAGTCCCATGTAGATGTCTTCTGCATTCATCGATGAAGTTGTAGGCTAGTTTTCAGAAGAAAGGGCTGTGATGATAACCCAAGTCTGTTGAATGGAAAAATGAAATAAGATACAGTGTATAAAAAAATAAACAACAACTAATAACATACACCCTGATACCTGCTCTGACAAAAAGAGGAAGGACTAATATTCACTTGGGGTTCTAGTGGGAAAACCTAAACTTTTTGTCCTACAAGACTAGTTACTGACCACATGTTAAGATTATTTCTGATGATCCCATTAAGACAATAGGCCTGATGGAGCTTGGATCAGACAAGTATGAAATAAGTAATACTGGTACATGTACAATGTACTTGTAATGTAAACTCGTGGTCATAAATGAATAGTACTCGGTTTACATAAAATGACCAAACAACTTGGAACAGAGAATGTACAGGAAATAATGCTATTGAAACATACGTTATGTAGACTTATATTTCATGTATATTGACATTTTAGTTTTAATCTAAATCACAATTGTGATATTCAGTCAAGTATTCTTTTACAAGTCAATGGACAATGAAAAATATAATTGTCAGATCTATAACTTTCTGCATCATAAATGTGTTCTACAATAGTTTATTGGGGGTACCTACATGGTATATTAGCACACTTGCTTGTATGGAGTGCAGTAGGCCCACATCTCTAGATATGATTCTGTCAATATCTGTTCTTTATTCCTCTCCTGGGTTTGTAATCAGCATGCTTTCATCATCCACTGTAGAGAAGCATCATCCTACATAAGAGAAAGGAATGTAGGTACTTCAATTAAAAAGTGATAATAATAGATACATATCAACCATAATTCATCGTATAAACAGACGTTCGTTAATCTTATGTTGTGTTCTTCTTCATCTTCATTGCTCAAGAAGTGAAAGGACCACTTACAAAAAAAAAGTAATGAGGGGTCCTGTGTATACCCTACATGTATGATCATTATCATTATTATGTAGTGCTTTGAATGTGCATTAGACATCGTTCTTCTACACACAGGACCTCCTGTAAATAAGGACAAATCCCTTTGTAAACAGAGAAAGGGAAGAACTAGAATAAAATATTCCCTCCACTATACACACTTGAAACATACACTTAGTTCCATTTCCTTTTTATGGTGGTTTAATATTTGTGTGCTAAATATCCTGAAAATTTTACCTGCATGGGACTTTCAGCTTCATCTTGAAAATATAAGAAATGTTGTAATGTCTACTCATCATTAAACTCCTTCCAGCTCTTCATCAGTTTCCATCTGTTGGAACAAAAAGAAAACAAAATCAATACGACAATCAAGGCGTCCCTTTCTCCTTAACAAAATAAAAATAGATCTAGCATAAAAGCTATTTTTCATGTCATGGTTGGCCTTAATTTTAATATAGTCTAGTGTGGAAATCAACATTCCAATTTAATGGACCACAGTACAAAGTAAAATCAAATGGAAGATTTAACTTGTGCCTCAAAAAGTGCTTTATATGGCCTATAAATATAAAGTAGTCTTAAGTAGAATTGGTTTATTAAGACAAGAAGAAGTGGACTTCATAAGTAAACATAATTGTGGACAAAGGGTCTTCTCTTGCACAAACAAATAGATTTATCAACATGAACTGCACAATTCAGAGAAGAAAAAAAATCTCTAATACATTAAAAGTAATAACAGGAGTCAGAAGCGTACGCAGGGGGGGGGGGGGTAAACCCCCCTACCTTCAGTTTTTTTTACGTGTATGTTTTTCTGGAAACCCCCCCCCCTTTTTTTTAGTGTTGTTTTTTGTTTTTTTTAATACAAACAAATCCAAATGGATGACCTAACCCCCCCCCCCCCCCCCATGCTTATTCAGTGGCTGGTTGAGTCGTTGCGAAATTTTTGGTCCGATTTCAACATTTTAACCCCCCCCCCCCCCCCCTCCCCCTTGAAAAAATCCTGCGTACGCCACTGATAGGGGTCTAGATCTAGATCTAGTGGTAAGGTCAAGGTCTAGACTCTAAATGATAACTTGACAAGCATGCTGGACCCACACAAAATCTAATTATTAAATAAACAAATCCTAGTGTTGATGTTTTTTGAATACTTTTTATTAATAAGTTCCAGGTTTACATCTAAATGAAATAGGATTTGGAGTTGTTTGTTTATCAATGGTCACAGATAATTTTGGTCTAAATAAAATTGACACGGATGCAACTGAGCGAACGGATGGCACTGATATTAAGTAAAGCCATCAGTCAACATCTACTAAAGATTTTAACAAGAATTAATCCACTTGGATTATCAAAAAAATCATGCTTCAGAGATTATTGTAAGGTGTAACGTTAAATCTAGATATAAATTAAATCGATGATTGGTGAATTAGATTCATGATGACGATCCAATCTGAAATAAAACTTGATTAGAAAGTTTGATCTTGATGCAGATCGATGAGCACCGAAATTCCCCGGGGTTGGCCTGCCGGAACGGCCGGGCCCCTAACTGGAGTACTAGGGTGAAATGACGGCAAACCGCAGTCAAACTACTTCATGACGATGAAAATCAAAGTTCAATTTCAAGAGCAATAATTTCCTAGTCTTTTCCCCAAAAATCTGTTGAGAACGGTCTCACAATGTAACGAAATTACCGTAGATCACAAAGACTATTGCAGCTTTTTCAAAATTGATGACTAAATTCACTTAATCTACTCATATTTCAATCAATTACTCACCCATTCTCAATGAACTAAATCTTCTCAGTTTGTGCGAGTAGCCTGCGTCGTGCATAAATCTGCATAATTAAAGTGACGCAATGAGGTCAAATATATTATCCGGTTTCTTAAACGATACTATCGATAAAATACATATTCATGAGGCTCATATCCAATCAAAAAGCCGCCTCGGGTGCTTATTTTGTCTTCAAATGATCCAAAAGAGGCGGAGCCTAATCCCATTCGTCTGCATGGTTTCCGCGCGTGCTGCTTTCCGTCTAGTAATTATATTTAAACGTCTTTGTTTCAGCCTCATTAACGCGCGCGCTGCGGTCTGACTAGAGTTACTAGCTGTCAAGCAGGAAAGGAACGAATGTCGTGAGGAATTCAATAAACTGCAGGAAGATTGTCAAAAATATCAAGAAGAGTCAGATAAGCTGAAAGAGCACCTTGAAGGAAAGTGTTTGTCGTCCAAGATAATTCAGGGGGATGACAAGAAGTGTCGTTTCTTCACTGGCCTGCCGCTGTCTGTCTACGTAAAAAAATTTGAGCAATTAAGAAAGTTTGTACCCCATGCTACGACCAAAGATTCTCTGTCATATGAAGACCAGTTCTTTTTCACTCTTGTTCGCTTGCGGCTGGACTTGTCTTTTGAATTCCTCGCTTACCAGACCGGAGTGGCAGAGTCAACAATCAGGGGGTACTTCTGGCTTTGGATTGACATGATATTCTACAAGTTGGACTTCATGTTAAAGTGGCCGTCTCGGGAATCAATTTCAGCTACCCTTCCATCAGCCTTTAGAAAGAAGTTCCCGCGTTTGACAAGCATCATAGACTGCTTTGAGATATTCATGGAGCAACCAAAAAACCTGCATGCTAGAGCTCAAGTGTACTCAAATTACAAAAAACATACAACTGTTAAGGTATTCATAGCATGCACTCCTCTTGGAGCTGTTTGTTACCTATCTCCAGCATGGGGCGGGCGTGTATCAGATGTAGAACTTGTAAGACAGAGTGGATTCATAGACCCTCATCTCCATGAACCTGGCGATCAAATCCTAGCCGATCGAGGATTCCTTCTTCATGATGACTTCGCTACGGTTTGCTCAGCAGAGCTTATTACTCCAGCATTTACAAGGGGGAAAAGTCAGTTGTCAGCATGGGATGTGGAGAAGTCGCGAGGAATGTCGTCAATTAGAATCCATGTTGAGCGTGTCATTGGACTTATGAAGAATCGCTACACCATTCTTCAGAACACTCTTTCAGTTTCCATGGTGAAGTCACGGAAAGGCGAGGCAGATGGTGACAACTTATCCAGCATAGATAGACTGCTTCGGGTGTGTGGCATTTTGGTCAATCTCGGTGGGAGCATTGTGTTCAAGGATTGATTAACTGTTTTGAACAAACTGCAGAAATTACGAACAGAATAGTGTTGTTGTTGTTAGCGTTTAGATGGCGCTCTTCAATCTTGTCAGATTATCTGCGCCACGGCGTTCCTTCTTTGATGTTCATCTTTTCGAACTTAAGATCTCATGGCTCACTTTTACTGATTTTTTTTTTTTTGTGGGGGGGGGGGGGGGGGGGGGGAGGTCTGTCTTTCCAGACTCCTGCTTTCCAGTTCAGAGTTAGCTTACCGTACCTGTCTCAGCGAAGTGCTACTGTGCAAGATTAAATATATGAATTGTTAGCATATTTTCAAAATTATTTGTTCAAATTCCATGAAACTTGTACCCAAGGGTTATCAAGTATCACAAATCATATGACACTCACAGACACAAATTCCAGGTCACAAGGTAAAAGGTCATTTTAGGTCAGTAGACTTGGATTATGTTTTCACAACTTAATATGAGAATTAATAAATCAATTTTTGTTATTCATACATGTATTTCATTCAAGTTATCGATCTTGGTACAAATAATAGTTATTAATTCTTCTGATGATTCTTAGTCAATATTCACTTCAAAATGCTGATTATATCTAATTCTTCATTTTTTGGGCCTGCTAATGGGCCATCCTGCCTATAAATAATGTTCCAACCTCAATTTTTCATTGTATTGAATTGCGTAATGCAGGCGAGACCGCTGAGAGCGTTTCCCTTGTTTCTCTTTCATATTTCTTGCATTGTAGTAAAATGTTCTATAGTTTCTGAAACCTAACAATGGATACATAGTCCATCTTCATGTTGATTAATAATGTGCTGATAATAATTTAATTTGCATTTCCCTAGTCTCAACTGATGTATAATCATGTCCACACAATATTATTTGAATGGTTAATTGCATATTTTGTAATAGTGTAAAAGTAGAAAAATTTGCGATACATTAATTTTCGCAGGTTTCCCGCTACGATCGGAACTCGGAAGGCGCAAATTTTAGAACCAGCAAAAATATAAGAATGATTTTTCACTTTTCATGCATGTTATGAAAGGGCTGAATTGCGTGCAACACAAATATATTTTGGGGTAGCTCAGCTTGAAAATTTATTCTCGCGAAAATATCAGCATTTACAGTAGATGGAAACTTATTGATTTTACTAAATTACCACGATATGGCAATCATGACTAAATGGAGGAAGAACTGTATTTGATTTTATTTCTTAATAAATTCTAAAGCTCTTTTTAAATAACATAATCTGGTTACACTAGTTCCATTTTTTTTTCTTTTCTCTTTTGTGATATAACTGTGGGAAAGAATGCAAAGTAAATGGTAGAGAAGAATGGAGTTGCACTTGGAAGTTGGATATGAAGAAGCAACAGTTCATAAGAAATGAAAAAGTGAGAAATGAAGAGAAAGAACCTTTTTTTTTTAAATATTTATTTAAAAAAAATGAAACTTGAAAAATGAGCAAGAAATATTTGTTGGTTGATAGTCGAATGAGGGAGAAACCCATTGGAATTGGAAGGAATGGAGTGTAGAGAAGAGAGGAATCAAGTTTGATATGAAGAAGTGAAGAACAATAAGTGAATGGGTGATAAGAAATGAAAGAAAACAAAAGATAAGGAAGAAACCTTTAAGGGGGTATCACACTGAGTGGCGAACATAGCGTATATTGGGTTTTGTCAGGGTTCTTAAAAGGTTACCATTTGCCAAAAAGTTCGCAATCATGTTCGCAAACGGCTTTAATTGTCATAAATACTTTTTCTGCAATGATATCTTAAACATTTTCAAAATGTCTCCGCTTGTTTTGGACAACATTTGTCAAAAAGTTGATGAATTGAACAATTGCAATATTTGCAAGCATTCGCCACTCACTATCATACCCCCTTTTAGGAAAAATTACAGACAAGATAAAGGGATGGGAAGAGGGAAGAAGGAAAAAGGAAATCTACACTAGGGGCACCTGCCACCTTCCCTTATCTAAATGTCACAATATCACATCTCTTCTTGCTCTTATCCATCTCTTTTATATTCCATATCAATACATGTACTCATTGTTCTTTCATAACCTTTCAGTCAAGGCTCATGTACCATATTTAAATTTGATCTTGGAGAAAGTGAAAAAAAAGTACAGAGAAGAGGTAGAAAAGAAACAAGTTGCAGAGTTCAGGTGTGACAAGAGTTTAAGAATTTTTTTTCAAGATGGGAAGGTAGAAAATAGAAAAGTAGTAGTGAAAAGGAAAACAGAGAGGAAAGTTTTAACTTTGGAGACTTGCTGACAACTCGGTATATACATGTACCTTGCTACTATCTCTTTATTTCTCATTACACCCTGTGCCTCCTTGCCTACTCTCAATTATTTTTGATCTTTTCAATCAACACTCAAACTGTCACATATTGAATTTGCTTTGACACCTTTTTTTCACTCACTTCTAATCAAGTGGTTATTCTTTTGGAACACTTTTTTCACTTTCTTCACATGCCATTTTATTTCCTTCCGACTTATTACAAGGTCACCTTTCATTGCAAAGTTAAGACATACAAATCCAGTTTCCATGTCTCTTCAGTATCTTTTATTTTTACATCGATCATGGAAGTACTGTACATGTACAATTGTACATGTATTTTCATAGGTATTCAGTAAATTACAGGAACAATGATTGTTAAAGGCATCGTTGAACAATGTTAAATCTAAGATGCGTGACCCTACGTGTTATCAGGGTCTGTGATATGGTGTAATATTGAAGCCCTAAAAAAATTGAGCTTCAAAATGATCATGAAGTGCCTCAAAAAAAAATTAAAATCTTTGAGTGACTGTTTATACCATACTCCTAAAAACTGTTAGGAAAACAAATTTTTGTTAATTTCAATTTCCAATCATAAATATCTTGATATTCAGACAGGCAATCGGCTTGCAAAAGTCATGGGATTCCTGACTGACCTAAAGGTTTATAATTATCATTGCAGCATGAGCTAAATCCAGGATTTTATTTCAGAATCTAAAACAAAGTTACCGAATCCCTTTACATCAAAATAAAACAATGTGATATAAAGCGTCTCTTCGAAGACCAAGTAAAGGTTATAAAGTGAACTTGATTAACATCAATCACAATCATAAAATCTTTACCTTCGCATTTAAAAAAAGATATGTACTACATGTACGTACCCATGTACACTGTCAAATAGTGTTTTATCTTGCTTACGGTAATTTAAAAAAAAGTTAAACGTCAGGTGTGGACTAAAACACCTATCATGTGCATAACACATACAGACTTCATGCATAAACTGAAAAGCCAAGGGATTTGTTTCCACGATCCATTGCCAATGAAGTGTTCAAATATAATTTTTGAAAAGAGAAAACATTTCACAAAAATATTGTTACAAATTTGTTAGCAACTAGGTATGCATGGCAACAAAATACGAACATCAAGGACACCTTTAAGCATTTTTACAGCCCTTGCAGTACCATTTTCCTTTAGGTACTGTCTTTCGTTTCGGAACAATACATCGTAGATGAACCCATTCATATTTGCACTTTGCACCATCACAGCCGACCATTACATTGTCCGGACTGTCGTCATTTTGGTCGTATGGCTCCTGGCAGTAGCAGAACAGAGTATCTCCATCCATCTTTTTCACATCTTCTTTGCTCTTCCTTATTTCTACTACCCGGGTTACAAGTTCACATATAATGTTCGCTCTCCAAAACTTCTCAAGCTTTGAGACAACAGCATGTACATAAAAATCATTATATTGCACTTGGTTAATCATGAGTTCGTTCCCTACTTTGATAATAAATGTACAGTAATCAACATTGTAAACACGCATCTGCATCTGAACTTGATCGTAATAGCGATGTCCATACTTAAGGTTGGAGTTCGCATCTAGGCAGCAGTACTCGCTCTTGAGGTATTCCTCTCTTGACATGCTTCTTGCAGAGTAGGGGCACTTAATTTCTATCACTCCTTTTCCGTGGCAGCTGCACTCCACAAGTCCATCGGCGCTTGCCCCAAGCCAGTGACGCTCTGCATCCAGTCGTAGTCCAGTGTGAGTGATCTTTATGTCATTGTGGCTGCATGTTCGAGAATATTCCTCAAGTACATGAGATTCGTTATCCCTACCATACTTCAGGGAAGCAGTGTTGATTGGGGCTATGTTGGGGTTTGTTATACTGAGGAGAACTGACTTTGCTGGGTTATCTTGATTTGTGTGGAGGACATCGTACACGCGTGATGCAGTGATTCGGCCAGCTCTCTGGTCATGCCAGACCACGCTGTCCGCTTGTTTTTCTGTGGCCTTCTCGATCTCGACGATCTCTTCCTTTGATATGGTGATCTGATGAAGGTCTGTGAATTTCTGTGGTTGGAGTTCAGTGCTTTGCGTGTAGTAGGAACGGAGTGGAGCTGGGAGTGGAGCTGGGAGTTTACGTTGGGGTGTCATGGCTGGGTTCCTTTTAAATAGGTGGCAAGGAAGTCCCTCAAACAAACTAAGTCCCACCGGTTTCTTGTCGGTTTCCATGAGAGAAGAAATAAAAGCATCTTCTTCGTCCTTGGTGCAGTGAGACCACTTCCTTTTCTTAACACTGTCCTTTTTGATGCTGTCCTTTGCCTTCTCCTTGTAAAACTTAATGTTCCTAATCTTTGCTGGTTCAACATTTGACACGAACCTATTGTTCCACTGGCAGGCAACATCAGTACAAGCTTGTGTCGTATATCCTAGACGTACTGCTGCCTCAACTTTGAAGAGTACTGCTGCAACATGACTGCACGACTCCCCCAGTCCCGCCATACACGTACAGTGAGCTGCAACAACCTGTCCGGTATTATCGGTTGCCACCCAGGGACTGTGGGCAGCGTCATTCAAGCGCTGAGACGGTTTGACAGCTGCGCTGAAGATGATAAACCCCTTGGACGTGACCTGATGATAAACAGTCTGCACCCAGCCTGATTGAAATTGTTGGTGCGCCTCCAAGCTGCGGTAGTTTTTCATCGTGGCATGTGAGAATGGCCCTG